GGACTTGTTCGATGTGTTTAACACACGCAATAGTAAATTAGTAGTGTTTGCCGGCATTGAATTCAAAACACAATATATATTAATTACGCATGGAAACCCCGAGATTCTTTGCAGGCTTAAGCCTGTGGACTGTGTCGTGGTGACGACAACGTTTTTTGAAATAGGTGTACATTCAGTTTGCAGTCACTAAGCTTCCCTAATTATAGAGAAATATGAAGACTGTTTTATGTGGTGTATGCTTCATTTAAAGTGTTGCCATTTCGTGAATTAGTTGTATTATGCACAACAATGTCTATTTTTTGATGAGTTAAAATATTATATTGAAGTTTTTAGGATTGTAGTATTTACTCAATTCCTTTTGTTACATTTTGATGTAAGGAACGCGAGGCTGTTGTTATATATTTAAACCAATGTTTTTGTTATGATTATATACAAGGTAGGAACGTAAGCTTGCATTCATGAAATGCAAAAAAAGAAATCATGCTAATATTTACGTGTGTTTCCAGTGGAAGGTCACGTCTAAAAATTGAAGTGGACTTTTTATTGTCGTAAAGTTACTTCAAATTGATAATGCCTGCATTGCAGATGGTCTGCAGTCTCATAATGAAAACAAAATGGTTGACAGACTGCAGCAAAAAGTTGCCTAGTTTTAAATGGTTCTAAAATGAAGCTTAAGTGCTCTTAGGAGCTGAAATTCTTACAAAATCAAGTGATTCCTATTCAAACGACATGGAATAAGGTATATAATTGAAGGTTGTTGAATGATTATAGTGCAAACAATTTCTACCATCGACTTAGCCTGCGTGCAGGCGTTCCTCGTTGGGGGCGGAGCGAAGAAACGGAAGGGAACGCCTGCAGCAGCCCATTGTTCTTTTGAAATATTTCGTTCGCGGGCGAACGAAGGTATTTGATTGGCTATAGCGGTTTTTTGCAATAGAGCGTGACGAGCGTGACTTCAAATCAGTTTCAAACATGGCGGCTAGCAGTGAGGATTTCGATAAGACGTTGAAGGAGACTACAGAACAGATAAATATTCAAATCAAAAAACAGCAAGTAGAAGCAATTAAGCATTTATTCTTCGGTGGTGATGTGTTGGCGGTTTTGCCGACGGGATTTGGAAAAAGCTTGATATTTCAGATGCTCGTAAAGGTGAAATCTACTTTAAGTAATGCTCCTTCGAGAGCGATCGTCATCTGTCCTTTAAAGAGCATCATAAACGATCAAATTCTGGAGGCTCAAAGCATGGGAATTTCAGCTGGACTTATAAACCAAAAAGATCAGAAGGAACTTTTGAAGTACAGCCTGTTATTTGGATCAGCGGAGGAAGTACTTGATACTTATTTTCTCGACTTCTTGAAGCGTGAGCACTCTTTCAGGAAGACTATTGTCGCCCTTGTAGTCGACGAGTCGCACACAATTGAGACGTGGACGTCAGATAAAAGGTATAAGTTTGATTAAATGCTTTATACTTAATCCGACCTACAATTGTCTCATGTTTTCCCATGTTATCTCTTTGACACAGACAAGCAAAGAAAAGAAAGTTTAAGGAAGGTTTTCGAGAAGACTTTGCTAAACTTGGCAAGCTTCGGTCATTCTTTGAAACAGGTAATTTAACTTATAGTTTTAAAATAGCTTTTGGATGACCATAAAACGTTTATAACAAACAAAAATTATGATTTCGATCGCCATTTAAATGTAATCTTTTTTCGTTTCGTGAAAGCTTGTATCTTTGTCTTTATGTGAGTTTCTCTATACAGGTACACCAGTAGCTGCTGTAACAGGAACAGCTGACAAGAAGACACAGGAGATCATCAAATCTTCACTTCTTATGCAAAACTCGTTGGAAATATATTTGAGCCCAAATCGCCCCAATCTTAGAGTAGATGTTAAGAAAGTTCCCAAAGCAGACCAACTACACCATTTAAACTGGGTCATTGATAACATKAAGTTGCACAAAGAACACACACCCAAAACTATTATATTCTGCAATACAATCAACGAAATTGCTACTGTAGTAAACTACTTATTGTGTAAGCTTGATCAAGCAAACATTGACAAAAGAATAATTGGAATATACCACTCTACATCTTGGTCAGCAAGTAAAGATAGAATAACGGAGTCGTTTAAGTCCAATGGCTTGATTAGAGTTGTAGTGGCCTCTACAGCTTTATGTATGGGGGTCAATTTCCCTGATGTACGATATATTATAAACTGGGGACCAGCAAGGACTATTGTCGACCAAATTCAGCAAGCAGGAAGAGCAGGGCGTGATGGAGCAATGGCTCATGTCATTGTACTTTATCATGGACAACAGGCTGGGCCATGTAATAAAGAAGTCAAAGAATTCATTAACTCGACAACATGCTTAAGGGTGGCATTATACAAGACCTTGGATCCASAAATCTGCCCATCTGAGACTTTACACAATTGCTGTTCAATCTGTGCTATTGAATGTAAGTGTTTGCAGGAAAGTTGTAAGGAGACATTGGATCATGAAAGACCAGTAAGTCACAACAGCCAATCTGGTAGTATAAGTGGACAGACAAGGGATGTATCCGATGATGACAAGCAAGATGTGAGGGCAGCTTTGAAAGAATTAGTGTCAGACTATAACCCACTGTTTGCAAACTGTTTTTCATTAGAACTTATTGAMGACATTGCTAGTAACTGTGAGTATATTTTTACATTAGAGGATATTACTACAAAATTCCCTGTATTTTCTATGTTTCATGCTTTAAAGATTTTGGAAGTTATACAAGAAGTTTTCTTAGATATTCCTCATTTAGAAGAGACACTATCAAGTTTAAATATTTCTGACAACACGTTAAGAAATTTTGATTATGAGAACCTTTTAGTTATTGATGATGATGCATATAGTGTGAATAATCTCTATGATAGCTTGGAGATTTAGTTAATTTTGTGTCAACAAATCACAAAAATTGTTGCTGTAATTTATAGAAATGTTAGTTTTTGCTACTGCTTTTACATCATCTTTGATATCCCTTTTCTTTTGAAAAGGAAACATAACCATGTATACATTTTTGAACTAGAAAAATTATATCTGGGTGAATAAAACTAATATAATACATAATAATGATAATATACATGTGCACTTTGTAACAATTCAGATAGTAAAAGTTATTTATGGTAAATAGTGTCCCACAGTTCTGTGTGCTCCTTCWGCCATTTGTGAAGGTCTCTGTAGTCCAGGCCATGTATAAGACTTCCATTGAATGATGGGAAGGAATTGTACCCTTGCCGTCCAGGAGTTTTGACAAAAGCTTCCTGATCTATCAAATCATTTGYTATTACACAAACAGCTTCAGCTTCTTGCACAGATGCATGGTAGCCATACTTAATATCACTTTCACAGTCTTTATCGATGGAATCATAAATTAATTCAAGTGATTCCAAGGTACTAGCTGTACGTTCTGCACTGCCTTCATTGATGTTGGCTCCTAGCACACGCCAAATTGATTTTAGCACTCTATTTTGCTGTTCTTTCTTTAAGTCAAGAGATATGTTTGTACCCTTTTTGCCTGTGTGGTTGTAAAATCGGTTCCATTTGAGGTCCAGGGCTTGAGATGGTGTGAGCACAGCAGCACACTTCACTAAGTAGAGTAATACACAGTAGGCATATTTGCAGTGTCTTGTGTTTTTATATATCAAAAGTAGTAACTTATAGAGGTTGTAAAGTCGTTCTCCGTCTCCCTCCTTGATTGTGTCCTTAAATTCCATAAGGAGTAGACCAAATGTTAGTTTGGCCCTGTGATAATTGAATTTAAAATCCTCTTTTTTCTCTAGTTTAGGAACATCATCATCAYTCAACTTMTGGCCATGTTTCTTGTCTTCATGTCTAAAGTGAAAATTTTAGTGAATTATTTATAATTTTGATCTATTTTTTAAACACACAAAAGCTAAATGCCTTGACAGGCATAAGTACTGGGGAAAAAACAATTTTATCATTATTAGGTTTAAGCAGTCATTGATTGTAAGTGTTTGAGATGCATCATTTTAAAACTTAAAAGTTTTTACAATTGGCATGAATGGAATATAAGTTACCTATTTCTGGTTGTTTTAGTCTTGAATACTTCACCACAGTGCATTCTACAAAAGTAGTAGCCAAGATGATCTCTATCACTTGTTCCATCATCAAATGAAAGGTTATGGACTGCATTTTCGGAGGTTACCTAAACACCGAGTTAGGATCTCGAGTTGGATTTCGAGTTGGATCTCGAGTTGGATTTCGAGTTGGATCTCAAGTTGGATCTCGAGTTGGATCTCGRGTTGGATTTTTAGCAGGATTCTGAGTTTTCTATAAAACACGGTATTTTTAAAAAAAATTTAACTAAGACTAAAGATCAGCACTACGGAGAACTGAATAGTTGCAAACCTTTTTTATTTTTCTACACGTTTCACCTCTTAACGGAGGGCTTCTTCAGGGAATAATTTGTACACTATTGACTAGTAATTACTAACATTTAAAACTTGCTTTAAATTAAACTTCCTTTTGGGACGTGAATAATAACAACGTCGTGACTAAAGTTATTGTGATTTCGAAATAGTTTTGGGGGCCATGCATGCGATTAATTTTTAAAAACTTTTGAAAATGACTTTTGCTCAAACGTTAAACTTCAGCCACTTTATATGTGCTTTATCTATCAACAACTGATTTTTGAAGTTTGGCAGCATCAGTCCCAGTCTGTTTCACAAAAGTTTGTTTATATATTTATAATTATTATGATTTTGATAAATTCAACATCACTAACTTGTTACTGACTGATTGTTTGATTCCAAACGTCTCCATTTGGAATGGCTGTAATAAATAGACAACTCTATTGTTTTCTGAGATTTGATCAGTTCATAAGCGTACAGACCATAAAAACACCTTCAATTGAGGGTCCTGACTACTTAGAGGACTGTTCGTATTACTGTGAAACGAACGTTGACGTGCTGTGAACTTGTCGTAATATATATATTGACAACAACATTCGGAAAAGCTGCCGTGTTTTGATTGTCAAACGAAAAACTCTCTATAAGTTTCATTTGTGTCGTGCCGTGTTGTTTGCACACTCATGCTAACATGAATAGGAATTCAACTGGAATTAACATCGATTTCACACTGTATCGTTATTTTTACCACAAAAAATGGTGTCAAAAACGTCACCTCAACTATTCTCAAGTCTCAGGACCACTAACAAAATGACAACCAAAATTGAGCGAAATTAAATAAAATATTAAATAAAAGATTAATTAAAATAAATTAAATATTGCACTCGTACGTAACCAAACAATATGGCAACAGAAGAGAATTTTATGACCTTCAACTATCCACTTACTATACGACCAACAGTAAACTTAGGACAAAAAAAGCGAAAAATCTGAATAGCACATATCGATAACTGCTACGCACTGTATTACGCCATGTCCTATTAATTGGACTGGGTACGTTAAGTTCCACGTAGTGGTTCTTGTGCATAGTCCCGAGCTCATTTTCGAGATTATTAACTTTGAATGAGACCATGTTGTGACGTTTTCTAACAAACAATTGCGAAAAGTTTTTCTCAATGACTCTCATGACTCAATAATTATTGAAGATATACCAATTTTAACAAAAATCCAACCTTGAAATCCAACTCGAGATCCAACTCGAAATCCAACTCGAAATCCAACTTGAGATCCAACTCGAGATCCAACTCGAAATCCAACTCGAGATCCTAACTCGGGGTTTAGTTTATCTCGCATTTTCGTGTCTATAAATTAAATATAAACAGTGTTTGGTAGAGGAAGAGAAAGAATTGGTTTATAGGGTTTTTTTGCAAAGGGCTACACAACGTTCTTGCAATTCTTTGTGGTAAATACATTTTGTAAGGCAATAACATTTTTATAGATGGTTTGACACTTTAGAAAAAGGCAGCATTTAATAATTACCTTACTCTACCAGAATGATAGACATACTCAGCATTACAATCATGATGTCTGCATGAGAACTTAGTTGCCTGTAGTGCTTTCTCTAGTTCATGTGTTTCATTGACCAAGCTAGATAATTCATCCATATCAAAAACATATTTCCTGACATGTTCTTTACAAATGTCATGCAACCACTTGGCTTTTGTTTTTGGTGTTACAGAGGCATCRGGCATTATGAGGCTTGGCTGATCTAAGTAATAATTACATGTATATAATATAAATGTGTGTTTCATTTCACATTCATTTCTCACTATGGAACAGTAAATCTCACCCTCCATTGTTTTCATATTCAACATTTCCATAAATGATGAGCAGATGTGGGCCTCAACTTCTCTTAAGTGGAACTCRCTGTATTCATTTAAGTGCTGTTCTGGACCTTTAGCAGCATTGGTCTTCCCAGTGCGATTTATACTTGCTCGAGTTGTGCCTATTTCTCCAGCAGAGGAATCTTTGACAAACATTTTGAACTCTTCCTAAAATAATAATAAATTTTCATCATAAATTATAGCTGGTCTTTTAACAAATGGGATCTTTACSTATTATTTTTAGCACCTTGTAAAGTGTATATTTAGCGTGCCAATCAGCGAACTCTGTATTGATAGCATCAAACCTCTCATACTCATCAATACCATCACGGAATGTCCACTTAACATTTCTTGCTCTTTCTTCAAATAATTGATCACCATGAAGAGGGACGGTACACAGAGGGATTTTTGTTGTATCTGGTTTGGTCATACATGGCACGTAGTTATCCTGGTTGTTCATTAGGAGCCTTGCCATTTCTCCACTTATATTGGGAWTTAAAAATTGCATCTTGAGTGAACACTACGGTACAAATCAACAGAGATAAAAATCACATGAACTTTTTCTTGGCAGAACTACAGACATTATAAAGGGGCCACTTCTAGATTATTTGGGTTGATATAAACTTTGCCAGTACAATCATGCAAATTGTATTGTTTTCTATTCTTTAGTTATTGCTATTTTGAACTACTAATTTAATTTAATTAATAACTGTTGGTTTTAATACTAATTTAATACATAAAAGTCATATTATGTAATATAATGATAGTAATTAAATATCAGAAATGACTGACAGCATGATCCCCTTCAAAAAATTGGCACAAAGTTTTTACTTACAATCTCTGATTTCTTAGACATTTCTTTTTCATATTGATGTGGTATATGCCTCACAACAACACCTTGCAATGGCTGGAAGTAATTAAGGTATCTTGTGACAACTCTACTAACRAGGATGGCAAAATTATTGATGAGCTGCTCTTGTGTGTCATTATTTGGTAGCAGATCTACAAACTGGATGTCTTTAATGGTATTCTGTGGGAACTTGTCACTAAGTTTAGGATCTTGAACACGGTTTTTTATAGCATATTGATGGGTCCAATGAATTGACCTGTTACCATGGGACTTGGTCTGAACACGTGCAAGAATATCAAAGTCGATATTGTCTCCTACTATCCTAGTTTATAAAGCAAATAGAAGGAAATTTAAGTAAAACCTCTTTAAAAGCTGAAGGTAAAGTGTACACAGAATAAATGAATATTGAGAAACGATAGTGGCATAATGATCATGTATTATTACACCTTGACATTTCATATAAATAAAAGACTTTCTTGTGTACAATGGACACATTTGRGCCTAGCAGCGGATCGGGCAATATTTTAATACACTAAAATGAAACATATCAAAACAGGTAAAATYAACTTACTTGTAAAATGGAAGCTTGGCAYGTTGAAGGGAATGGATGACATCCTCCAAACACTCCTCTGACACGTCCTTCTCATTTCTTTTAGCCTGCACATCTTTCACAATTTGAGAAAAGCAATTGAAATTCTYYTCAGTGAAACTCTTGTAAGATTGCAAAGTTTCTTTAGTAGTGTCTAGGTTTGTACAAATGTCCATGTCTTGGTCTTCTCTCTTCAACTGTGTCTTTTTCAGTTCATTGCATAGTAGCAGGGCTCCCCTGTTCTCCTCAATACATTTCTTCCAGTAAAGCACCTTCCCTTCCAACTGCTTGCCCATCTTCTTTTGTAAGTTTATTATGCTGCTGGGTGACATGGACACTCCAAGACGATTTAAACGGATAAGATCTTCATGTCGTGCGCCACTATGAAATAGAATAGTTGAAAGCCTATAATGTAAGGCAGACATAGCACCATTTCTTAGGCGAATGAGAGTCGATGTAGCTAAAGCAGCATAGTTGACTATATTGGAGGAGCTCTTCATTTCATCTTCGCTACATCCACTAACTCCAAGCACACACTCAAACCACATGGGACAATGGATTCGGATTTCCTCTATCAGTATCTTGTTGTTGAAACTTGCTATGTCTTCGGGATCCGTGCTCTGTAAAACACTATCGGAAGACAGGTATTCTCGAAACTCGTTGTTGACAGCTTTTCGCATTTCTGGAGAAAGTTCTGARCAAAGCATTTTGTGATTCATTATGATCTTCGAAGCAGTACTCCAGCTTGAAAGGGRGAGGTGTTTGATRAGGGATTTTGTTTCTTCATCGCGCGGGATTCTCACAACAACATCGCCATTTGGGTTTCGTATAAGCACCTTCACTTGCAATCCATCGCTTGGTAAATCGTCAATATTTAGATAAGAAGAAGACAATGTTTCTCTTCTTGTTCTTTCATTGAAATCAAGAGTTTTTTTGCTAGACGGGGATGATCTTTTGGTTTGAGATGCAGCAGCATGTATACKTTTAGTTTGCCTCCACGAAGGGCTGTGTTTGTCGGGTGTCTCTAGTTGTCTCTTACTAGTATTTTTCTCCAAAGTACCGCTATCGMTAGAACCAAGTAGGCGTTCACAAAG